CTAATTGCCAAACATCTATTTGTTCAAAACTACTATTGCAAATGTGTGACATTTGAAGGTGAAACTGTGACCATAAAAGAATTTGGAAGAGTTTCATAGTAGTTGGAAGTGTGAATGCCTATTGCTATAACAGGAACTTAGATATAGTTTGAGTAGACGAATGTGCATGCTAATGGATGAAATTGAGTTTATTTTTAAAGAAAGAAAAGGTTACTCGGACCAAATTATTACATCTCAGCCTTACAAAATTTAATTATTAGAGAGGACTTTGAAAAACCCTCACACTATGGATTTCTAAGAATCAAGGTCATCTATGGCTATGTAATGGCTTTATGAAATTATCCAAGCAAATAATAATATTTTCTCAAGTCATAAAAAAGAAATAAAATGATATGTGTGTCACTAAATGCTAATAGAGTATGAGAGGTAATCAAAGGAATTATAAAGAAATTGTAAAAGGATAAGGGTAATTAAAAGGGTAAAGATAATATCAACTTCGCATTTGTCTTTTATATACAGTATATTTTTTATAAAGGGATGGGGATTAATACAATTCAATTATGGTGTGGTCAGTTTCTCAGGGGACATGTATGCTATCAAGGTAGGTAAATGCTAATGGAAGTTTTATAGTGTCAAAGTGTATGCTAATCATGTCTTTTGTAGGTCTTGATACGGCTCTTTTTCTCTATTCCGCCGTTGTCTTTATCGTGATGGTGGTGATGATATCTTCATTGTCAGGGGGCACGCAATCGTGATCATGATTGTGATCATAATTATGATGGCATTCTGCATTTAACCTTCAGGGCTGTTTTTGTCATTGTGGTTCTTGCCATCTTTGTTATGGTCTTTCCCCTTTTTTTTTTCTTGTAGGTCATTTGATATATAACGTCAAACTCATGGACAGACTTGTCAATCGATGCCTCTAACGACACGATTTGGTCAAGCAATTCCTGTTCACGATTCGAAGTGATGATTGATACAGGTGGTTTGACTATGATATGGATTCTTCTGAATTGGAATCAATTTCTCCGTCCTTTATGTCGTCGTCAACAATCATTATTTCGGGGTTTAGTTCTTGTTTCTCCGGACTCTCCTGCTTGATCTTGGTAGGTTCAATATTCATCCATTATTATTTTTTGTAAATAAAACATATAATTATAAGAAGCTGGATCACGGCTACACTTTTCCAGTTTTGAACACAACTCCATCATTACGACTTAACCAATAGGTCTTCTGGCTATACCGACCCTTCCGTTGGAAAGATGTTGAAGATGTTGAGACTGAAGGTTGATGTCTCGCTTGATATTATTTTGATGTTCCATTTCATACATCAGCTCTTCGGGCAATAAGCACACCATGCATTTTTTGGATCTAAATTCGGTCTTTGAACTTTGAATATCTCTGAACCATACTATTAGATCTCGCGTGAAGTTTTCTTCACTTATTGTGATGGTATTTAGTGTTGCTGAACTCAATCCAGACGTCGATGGTTGAATGCTCGAAATACTTGGAAGAGACGTAACCAGTGTGGACGGTGCAGATGATAATAATGATGAGATGTAATGAGATGGACTGGTCATTACATTCTGTGGAGAATAAAGCATATACTATGTGCGATCATGATCATAATGACATTTCAGCATTTTCAATCGTCAGTCTTGGTGTAATTAGGTAAGTTGCGGCATTTTCTTTCTTTTGCGGCGTTCTACCATTGGCTTCTAACTTTTTCTTACCAATCTTTCCCTAGCCCCATGCTCTCGACATCTGATTTACCATCCGTGGGTTCTCCTTAATATTCAACGATATTACATCCCTGGCTTGGCTACTGGAATCTCATCGGTAAGTTTCAGTTCTTTTTGCCTTCTGGTTTCTTTGCCGTTCTTTTCTTTTTACTGGATAGTCCTTTTTTTCTTTTAGGAACTCGTCCCTTGCTTCTTTCGGCGTCGCAACTTTCGTGATCGTCAGCACCATTATCAGAATTATCTTCGTCATCGCTACTATCAAGTCCGAGATCTAAGCTGTCGTAGCATGATATACCTTCATCATCCGAGGATTTATCCCCACAACTACTGTTACTTTCAGTTTCGTATATCACAACATTTTTTAATATGGTAATACCATAGCACATCCATATTGTAGTTTCCATCTACTTTTTCAACTTTTTCTCTTTCTCTATGTGTTCTACTATTATCATACTTGGAATCTGAAGTATCAGTGGATTTATCAGCATCGGTATTAGATATGCTGGATAATGGGTTTTCCAAATTCGGTTCGACTACTACTGGTAATTTTTTTATTTATTTATTTATTTTTTTTTCTAAAACGACAAAATGCTAATTTGCCATTTTCTTTTCTTTATATGCTGGAGTGGCGATCTTCTCGCGATCGTACTGCATTCCAGCAGTATTCTCACTAAGAGATAAGTATCTTTTTGATCCAGGGTTTTCTCTTATTCCTTGTTTCTTCAGGGGCGGTGTGCAGCATCGTTCATGCACTCGTTTTTTTTGTTTTTTTTTTTTTTTTTTTTTTTTTTTTTTTTTTTTTTTTTTTTTTTTTTTTTTTTTTTTTTTTTTTT